CCTCTCCAAAAAAAAAAAGATACTAAACTACAACCTAACTTGATGTACAGCAAGTCATAACCTAATCTAAGGGTATACCCTGGTAACCTAGCAACTGAGCCCCAGTCAATCATAGCAGCTGAGCTATAGCCAATCACAGGCTGCCAACAAATTGCTCCTGTCCTTCTGAAGCAAGAGCTAATTGGGACCAATCTGGTTGGTTTTGCATGTCATTTCCTTGGTTCATGCGTCACTTTCTTTTCTCTGGTTATAAATCTAGGCTGTATATGTAGTGGAGCAGAGCATTTTGATCTAACTCCTGCTGGGGATGCTGTCCAGCTCTAGAAGCCACCCTTGCCCAGATATTCTTAAATTTAAGTGGTCCCGCATTTTTCCTTTTAAGATATTTAACACTACCACAAAACTCTTCAGGTATGTGAATAATTCCCGTATTTTCATAAGATTCATATCTCTTTTGGGGGGCATGTATTTGTAGCATCTAGGCATGTACATGCCTGCTATTTCATGGTCTCAAGGTCTGTTAGAATACTTGTCCATGTAGTGATGCAGTATGATATTCTAGGGATAGTAAAAATAAGTAAAAACTATGCCTTGGTATAAAATTAACCAAGGTCTCTGAGGACTGAATTACAGCAAAGAGTCAGGGTTGATGGGTTATTGATTTGGAAACTAAAAGTGCACTGCTGTCCCTGCTAGGTAAAACCAAATTGCTTCTGTGTTTTTGTGTGTTTGTTTCTTTTTCTCCTATTTCTCAAAATGTAGGGGGAATGATATTTGCTGCATAGGAGACTACTCCAGCAAAAAGTCTGTATCAGGAACAACAGCACAATAATGGTCACCGTTGGATTAATGTGTTCTTCTTAAAAACATATATTTACTTTTCCATCTAATTCATGATGGGACTATGAAAGGAATTATTAAGCTTACATTTTTTAAGTCTGAGATTCCCCCCAGAATCTCTTTGTCTCTGGTGAGTACATGCACTCCCTGGTCAATTAAAAAGAAAGCAAAGGAATAAATCTTGTTGTTTTAAGCCACTGAGAGTTGGAGTTGTCATTAAAGATTCAGGTCTTCTTACAAGATCACATGCAAAGGAAGGGAAAAAAATTAACGTTAGACTTGCCATCATGAACCCTGGATGGTGAAAAACAAAGCAAAACAAAACAAAGAAAAAAACTTCAAAATTTTGAGGGAAATTAGTATTAACCTAAAATGCCCAACACTGTCAATTAGCCATTGGCAAAATAAAGATATCGTCACTCATGAAAGAACTCAAAAATTCACTATATATATTATTTTTTTGAGAGAGATTTTTTTCTATAGGGCACATGCGGTTGCCAGAGACACCAAGAGAGAAAGAGACAGAAAGCAAGAAATAGCCCCCCACACCTGGGGATGACCATGCTGCAATCTCTTCTCCTCCTTTATCCTCTTGAGATATTGGGCATGCATGCACACACACCCAGTGTGAGTTTAAGCTACCGGGTCTGGTACTCGATATGTAGGAATCCTGTGACGCAACCATTATGCCATCTGTTGGTCTCTCACTTCATATATTCTTTCTTCAAATGTTATCCAGGACTATGTTCAGTAAAATATATGAGTAAATTAAGAATACCTCATATATTCTTTCTGCAAATGTTATCCAGGACTAGGTTCAGTAAAATATATGAGTAAATTAAGAATATTGTGGAGGGACCAGCAGGTGGCTGGTGGTTAAGGGTGCTGGCCTTCCACATGGCAGACCACAATTTGAATTTTGGACCTGGTAGCTTGCTTTCTCACTTTCTCTCTCTTGCTCTGTCCCTCTCCAGTCAAATTAAAAAATAAATAAATAAAGTTAAGTAAAATAATGCTTTACAAAAAAAAAAAAGAATGTGTTGGGATTATTTGAGAATTGGAATTTATAACATATCAAAAACACTTTGAGAAAAACTGTAAAGAGTAGTTAAGATATATTGATGTCCTCTAGAGGAATATTTGCTTCTTTGGGGAGCTAATCTAAGGTAAAATCCTTTTATCCACAGCAAGGATCAGGAGTGGGTACTCTAGATCTTAGTTTGTCAGTAATAGCATCGCTGTCCCTTCCCTCTTGAGTTCTGGGTGGGGATCTGATAGGAAGCAATGAGAATCGGTTCAAGGAGTCTCTATCCTGTCATTCATTCAATTAATTCAAAAATATTTTTGAACAGATACTCTCTACCCATCCCTGTACTACTCTAACAATTCAGAGACAAATACAGACAGCCTCTGCCCTCAAAAGAGCTCACAATCTTTCAGGAAAGTTTGGCTCATATAAACCAGGCACCATAATAAAGACAGGCTTAAGAGGAAGGAGAGGAGAGATTGTTTCTGGGTAGTGAAAGGGAAGGGTGGTCAGGAGTCCTCAAAGCTTTCAAAAGGACTCGAGCTGCTAGTTAAAGCTGTCCTCGAAGCTGGCATCCTTCAATTAATGCAAATGATCATTTTCCTTTTTTGGTTACTGTGAGTTTTCCGTCACTTGCAAAGTTTTCTAGCTGAATTTGCTAGCTCTAAGAATTTTATGCCAAGCAGGAGAAAGAGTTCCTTAAAGCACTGCCAAACAGCAACAAGACGAATAAGGACAAAAAGGCAAGAAATGGCCCCCTAGAAAGCTAATGAAGGCAGCACAAGCAGCAAGAACCGGAACAGAATTCACACAGTGATTCACGTGGCCGCAGTGGTGCCGTGTTACAGTAATCCTGACACTAGAAAATGAGTTCATGAGTCAAGAAAGAACCTTTGTCTGTGAGGGGGAGCCCAGTTACAGGTAGTCACAAGAATCAACTGAAAATATAATGTAAACATAGTTGGTGGAAATAATTTAGTAATTTGTTGCAGCAAGTTAGATGTTGGGAGGAAAGTGTGATTATGGTTGTTATGCTCGTACTCCTAATAGAATTGATTTGTGGTTAATGAAATTATGCATGTGAGCAAAATTGCCGGCTTACCCTACAGCATGCGACAGGAGGCCATGAATAAAAGCCTCGCTTTCCAACACATCTGTATTTGGGAAGTGATAAGAACAAGCTTCATTCTCTTGTCCCCTATATGTATGAGAACATGAACAAAGAGGCTCACTCCCTTACACTTAGAGAGAAACGATGGAATGATGAGCTGAGACGAACAGGATGACATTTAGTTTGTACAAATATAAAATACCGAGTTTCAGGCAAAAATTCAAAATAGAATAAAATAAAGGACAGGATGACGGGAGATTTTCTGAAACAGATCCATGGTTTAGTCGATCACAATTCAAAATTGTATTCTCCTGGAGACAGGATGGGGAAAGGTAGTTGTGTGATTTCTGATTGCAAGAGGCTGAGGAAGAGGAGGGACTTATCTAAATGGACACAGGGGCATCAGATCACGTGGTCACGAATGCCTTGCTCAGTGTTTTTCATCACTCCCTGTGGACAAAAGGGAACTATCGAGAGTGCGCTACCATGAAATGATCCTGGCGGGAAATCCGACGCCCTTGGCTCATGGGAACTAACTTCAGAAAGCCTCTAACTCCAGAAAGTTGCCTTGCGGGAAAAGCCAGCAGATTCTGGAGCCCCGCCCAGCCGCAGTAGGCTCCTCCTCCTCTCTAGTCTCCGCCCCCCCACGCCCGAAGCTACCCCAATCCCGAGCCATGGTTTAGCATAACTCCGCCTCTGGGCGCCCCGCTTCGCCCGTTTCCCTGGAGACGCTCTCCGCGTTCCCTCTCCTGGTGCCGGCAGTGCCAGGCCACAGCGTGAGGAGCGGGCAGCGCCACCGCCCAGGCCCTGCCACCGGTGGGGGCGTCGCGTCGGCGGAGCGGAAGACCGGAGTTGTTCCCCGGGGCGGACCACCGAGGTTCCTGACGGCGGGGCGAGGCTGGGCCGGCGCTTTCTGAGCTCCTGGGAGAGCGGGTCCTTGGCCTCGGAAACCTCCCCCTCGTCCGTCTGGGCTTCCGGAGCCGAGGCCCTTGGCCTTCCCTCCAGAGAAAGAAGGGAAAGAAGAGAAAGCAAGGCGCTGGCCTTTCTCCTCGGTTCACTTGCCCCTCCGCGGGCGGCGGGAAAGTGACCAGGTGTAGGACTAAGTAGGTTAGTCCTGTTTATAGCTAGCTGGGACTAGTTAGACTAATTCCGAACAAACGGGAAGTAAGATGGGCTCAGGTTTCTGTGCAGAGAACTCCATCTATGAATCTGAGAGAAGACATGGTTATCCCTGCTGTCCCACTGGTACTGAAACACGTAAATACATACACAGAATGCAGATGCTTTGGCATTTCACTGAATTAGTGGTTAGCCTGAGAGAGAGGGTCTACACTTCTGTTTTGGTTTTTGTTTTTAAGATTTTTTTGAAGAGATATTTTTGCTATAGAGTATGTGTGCTCGCTGGAGAGACAGAAAAACAGAAAGCAAGAAATCACACCCTCCCCACTCTTGGGGAATGGCCACACTGCAGTCGGGGAATGGCCACACTGCAGTCCCTGGGGTTTTGAGCATGCAGGCACACACGCCTAATGTGAGTTTTAAGCCACCCAATCCAGGACTCCAACCATGGTTGACTACGTGGGAGTCCAGTGACATAACCATTATGCCATCTACTGGTCCCATTTTTAAGATTTTTGCCATAGGGTGTATTCCCTGGAGAGAGACAGGGAAAGTGAAAAATCACCCCCCTCCCCATGGGGGATGGCCATGCTGGAATCCCTTCTTCATTCTCTGGATTTGGGGCTCACCTGTACACACATCTGGTGTGTTTTACAAGCTGTCAGGTCTGGGACTCGAACCAAAGTCATCCATGTGGGAGTATGGCGCTACATCACCTACTGGCCCCTACACTTCTGGGTTTCAAAACAACATATTTACACACATAGTAGGTACTCAATACTTGTTGCATGAATGAATCTTATTCCATGGTTTGGGAGCAGGTAGAGGAGCTATTTTATTGACTGACTTTTGACATTCTTTTCTTCTCTCTTCTGAGATGATTCTTTGCTTCCTGATTTTCAGGCTGAAGTCTGTAAGCCTGGAGAGACCTTCAGCAATAATCTGCAAATGTAAGTCAAGTGAAATGAGTTCTACCTTCAAATACTCTTTCTGTTTTATATTTCAATTTAACCACCAGTTAAGTGTCAGTTGGTAGGAAAGATGTGATTTCCATTAATTTTATTTAGCAATCCATCTAATTACCCACCATAAAAGTGCTAGAAGTGTCCAAACAGTGATACAATGATACCATTATTTAGTGACTCTTCCAACTTATCTGGATTTTTTTTACTCTTTTAAGCAGCATATTTAATGATATTCTGTAGTTTTCTTTAAACTTTCATAGTGAAAGAGCTCATGGTGATAATATGAATAGTTCATTCTTTCACAAACACTCATCCTCATGAATGTTTATGTTTTGGTCGTAGTAAAGTCATATTTATTCTGAACTTTTTAAGACATATAATACATTTTATTTTTTAGCTGTATTTCTCTCATCTCAGCTTTTACTCCAAAGTGACATTGGTCAGCCTCAGACATAGTTTCTCCCCAAGTAGCCTCTGTCTACACGGTGGTAGGCCTCCCCTTTTTTGTGCTTCCTGATGAGGTTATCTCTGGGGAACATACACAAGAGGATTATTCTTTGAAGAATTTTACTTGGGGGCCAGAAATTTAAACTCGCACCATGGGACACATTCAGCCTGACCCAGCACTCTCAAAGCTTTCATCCTGTGTTTCTCCATTCTCATTTGTCTTTACATGTGGGGGCCAAACTTAGAGTCTGAAACTGTGATACAAGAGCCAACCTGCAGATCAAAGAATGCACCAAATCTCTTCTGAATACCAACAGTGAAATGGCTTCAGGCGGCCTTTTGATCTTTGTCTCGACACCCATGGTGCCACATGTAGCTCCGCCCACTTGCTGGTACTGGGAGAACTGCCTCTGGGTCCTCCTAATAGACTACTTCAGCCTGGGTTCCTGGGGCTAAGCTCCTTTTGGTACCTGCCAGAGAGTAACTCTCATTCTTCTCCCTTACTCACCTGAACTTGAGCACTTCTCCTTCCTGGGCTCAGTATCACCCATCTTGAGTGTCTTCCTCTACGGTGTTGAGCTGAGAGAACCCTGGTGAAGTATACTGGCTAAGGGTAATGTGTTCTATTTTTGCTACTAGCCTAGGTTAGCCACCCAGGAGCACTAGTCCCATACCTCATTGTTGAGCCCCGGTTGGAGTTCACTGTGCACCTAGGGGTTGGGAACACTGGCCAAACAATGCAACTCATGTTAATGAAGAGCAAAAGGCTCTCTTCACTCGATGGGTTTAATTTAAGTCTGAAATGACGGATCCCTAAATATGCATGCACTTGTCTCACTTATTTTCCCCTTGATCATTTCTATAAACTAGAATACAGCTACTTTAACAAAATTCAGCATAAATAAAACTGAACTGGGACCAGTCAGTGGTGTGATGGTTGAAGTGGCTATATCCCATATGACCAACTCTACAGTTTGAGTCCCAGACTTGGTGGCTTAACAACACACCAGGTATGTGTGTGTGTGAATGCCCAGAATCCTGAGAGGAGAATGGTGGAGAAGGGATTGTGGCATGGCCATCCCCTCTGGGAAGTGTTTTCACTTTACTTTGCTCTTTCTCTCAGTTTTTCTCTGGTGAGTGCACGTACCCTATAGCAAATTGGGAAAAAAAAAAAAAAAAAAGATTGAACTTATAAAGCGTAAAAGAGATGAGGATTACTTAGGTAAGGACATAATTTGTTATAAGACCCCTTTCGGTATCTGGTGCATTTCAAATATGTGGGTCATAAACTTCAGATCATACAGTGTCTGCTATACAAAATAGAAGTCCCATGTATTGATTGTGAGGAAAATACTACCTTTCCCCAGCATGCATAGGCAAGATAGAATGTGGGGTTTGGAGGAACGAAGGGGACCCGCTCAACTCTCACCGTAACTCTGAGCTTAAACCTCAATCATAGATGAGTTGAATGATCGTTCTCCAAAGTGCAGTTAATAACTTTTTTCCCACTTTATCATTCAGCTCTGACCACCCCCCATCCAGAGTTTGTGCCTTGAGGCTTGCCAGCAGGGCTTGCAGTACTTACATTAAACCAAATTTAAGAGTAAAGGTGCCCCTGCTGCTAATATTCTCAGATCAGAGGAGAGCAAAATGAAGGAACTGGCAGCTGAAACTTTAATGGTAGAAAACGTTGACTTGGAATTTGAAAAAAAAAGAAAAAAAAAGTCGCAGTTGATCCGTATGACAAAGAAGACACGTTCCTCTTCATGTATATCATTTGCATTTGATTTCATTAGGTGCTTCTATTTTCTAGTAAAAATTATCTACACAAATAATCACTCGAAAGGATAAATTTTATATTGCTTACTGGTATACCCACCTTGTTGGGCTGCATCTGGTCCTTTTGTCTATAAGTAGCTGGGGCTGTCTAGTATTAAAGGAAATGGCAAACACTGTTTCTCACTTTAAAGCTCATTGGTGAACCTTCAAATGCCCCCATGATCATGAAAAAAATTATACTGGCCTCAGTGCCCATTGTATGTCCTGGTAAGCCATGTGGGGCTCTCAGAACAGTCTTAATTCATGTGAATAGAAAATCCCAACTGAAGCAAGTACAGTTGTTTTCTTCTCTCCCTTTCAACTACACTAGGCTAGAACTGAGATAGTGCAGAATTATTCTCTGTAACATGAGACATCTCTATAATAGCGTCTGTCCAATTTCTCAGAAGTAGGCTCATGGAAAGTGGGTTTGGGATGCTTTCGGTGTCCCTTCACACCGTACATGGACTTGGCCATATGTTGGTCATAATTTCTTACCATGTTTTCTTCATTATGCTGCCATTTAGTAACTTCTGGTTATCCAAGCAACTCCACTAGTTAATGTAACATCTGATCAGAAAGAAGAGATTTTTCTAAAATAGTAAAAAGAATTAAGTCATTATATTACCAAGTTATATTTCCAATGTTTGTTCTGGAGGAGAGGACCAAAATTTTCTGTTTAGACTATGTACAATTAAAGCTATAACTTCATAAAAATAAATAGGTATTATATTTTATAGATCATATCATGCCTTGATAAATTGGGCAATATTAGGATTACATTATATCTATATCTATTATATCTAAAACAAAACACTGATCTGTATTAAGCTTGTCTAATTATGTGGAAAATTATTGTTAGGCCAGGGTAATGGTCTTTTATAGAAACACAAGACCACCAATTTCTACACTGACTTTCAAAAGATTTCTCCTTAAAGCTTAGTGTTCCCACACAACCCCTGACCCCACCCCTGTCGTGGCTTGTAGCACTAAAGAGATATTGTGTCTGAACCATCCATGGGAGGCTCTGTTTTGTGTCTTACTACATCTCCCCATCTCCGTTCTACCTCAACCACCATCCTTTCTCACCCAGATTTTACAGCAACCTCCTAGCTGACCTCTCAGTTGCCTGCCCTTACTCCCCCTCAAAAGAGAGACTCAAAATAGAAACCGGAGTGACTTTTTCAAGGTGAAAGTCAGATCACATCACCTCCATGCTCTAACTCCTCTAACAAATTTGTACTCAATTGGATTGAAAGCCAAAATTTTTACAGCAGCCTTCAAGACCCTGCACTATTGGAATACCGCCAAAATTCCCTTGCACTTCTTTGACCTCATCTATCCTTCTGCTCTTATTTATCCCTTTGCTATTGGTGAGCATTTAAGTAGTTTCTAATTTTCTATGTTATCTAATATTTTATGTCTTTTGCTTATTTGTATATTGTCTCTACCCTTATAAATGATATGGGACCAGAGATTTTTGTCTTCTTTTTCATTTCTGTATCTTCACCATCTAGAATAGTGCCTGGCACCAAGTAACAGCTCAATAAATATCTACTGAATATATTCAAGGCCCAAGTCGATTTGGTTTACTCTAGTCACCCATGCTGGAAATAAGTGATTTAAACCTAGAACAACTCTTACAGTTACTTGGTGAAACTAAGAGTAGGGGAATAAACTGGTGAACATTAGTAGGGGTGGAATCAGGAGCCTATAGACTTTTGGATGCCTTGCTGTCTAATGGAAGGATGGTTTGTTTTTGCTTTTTATTTATCTGAGAGTCCTTGCAGTATGTGGCAATTTTCAAATTTTAAGTCCATAGACATTAAGCTCACATTTCTTCTTTGGGATAGGGTTTAGATAACTTTTTTAGACCTGCCTTTCTTATTGTTGTCTTATTGTTGTCTCCTGTAGCACATTGCATTCTGCAAAGAGAGCTCTACAGTATCTCCCATCAGACATCCTCTTCTTATAATGTGACTTTGACATTCACTCCTCAGTCAACGGGTTAGGTGGTTCTATATTCACATACCTTGAATCTGGGAAGGCCTCTTATCACGGCAGAAGTGATTTTATGTGACTTCCAAGGCCAGCCCCTATATGGGAATACAGCTTTTTTATGGGATACTTGCCTTGAAGTACTGAGCTGCCACAGAAGTCTGAGGCTTCCATGCAATGAGGAAGCCCAAACTGTATGAGCCCAAACCACATGTACGCTGGCCAACAGCCCCAACTGAGGTCCCAGCTAATAGTTAGCATCAACCATCACATGTATAAGTGAAGACACTAACGGATGATTTCTGTCCCTGACCATTGGGTTACCCTCTTTTCTCAGTCTTCCTAGTAGAGGCTTGTCATCATGCAGCCGAGAAAAGCCATTGCTATCATGATCTATCCTAATCCATAACCTACATAGAGAGAGATGAAGTTGTTTTAAACAACTTTTTTAAGCCACCACATTTCGAAATGATTCATTATACTTTTACAGCGCGTGCTTTCTCACGCAGCTGTCTGCTTATTGAGAGGCATTCTGAGCATCTATCACTTCTCAGGGAAAGCCTTTATTTGTGAGTGATAAGACTTTTAGAAAACAGTAAAGTAGGAGCAATTTTCAATTATTGATCGTAACAGGAAAGCAAAGCATAAACGTGTGAAATCCATAGCTCTCCTAAAAATCTTCACTCTTTAATTGCAACCACGTATCTTAACAAAACTCTTACCAAAGCTGCTGCTTGTTTGAATCATCAATGCGTTTATCAGAATTTTTTCTTTCTCCACTTTGTGGGAGAGATTTAGACAAAGTAATAAATTGGTCAAAAGACAGGCAGTAGGAGAAAATAATGAGAGAAGCAACCTGCAGAATCCCCTCACTGAGTATCATTCCAGAAGAACAGTGCGATTCACTCTACATGCAGAGACAGTCTCAGCTAGATGACAGACCGCAGATCTTTAATAATGTCTTAGGGCATTCCTTGGAAGATTTATTCTTCAAAATATCACTTCTGCTTGTGTTTTTTGTAGTCCAAAATGACCACCCTGCCCCCGCTGCCCGTGACCCGCCCAAAGCTTGCATCTTTAGCCAGACAGAAGCTGCCATGCTCCCCCGGAACGATCCCAAGGTACGTGCCCCTGGTTTTCATTTCTTTTCCAATGGAATGAATTTTCTGCACCAAGACGTGTCATGGCATACCTCAAAATAAGATTATTTAAAGAAAAATGAAAAATACATTGTTATATCCAGAACATTCACATCTGCTGTTTTAAAAGGATTGATGAACCTCATTCAAATACTGCAAATATATCAAGCCAGTACTGAGTTGATCATTTCATTTCCTGTTGCATTTCTGTTTGGAGGAGAGGAGGGCACAGCCTTACTACCAGGGCAAATCGGCAGTCTCCTGAAGTGATGCTGGAGCCTAAGAATGCATCATCAAATGGCTTCTGCCAAAGAACTGCCGCTGAGCTACTGGAGTTGTTGCTGAGAGGATGCAGGACAGAGAACTCGTGTTTGATCATGACTATGAATATTAGCTAAGATGGTGCTACTTTGAAATCGCCACTTATAATTTTATTAACTTTTAGTAATGCACGTAATATTTACCAGTATAAACAATTTGCATATTGTAGGTTTGATTATTTTCTGTATATGCATACTTCTCAATTCCTACAAGGAATAATGATCAAAGTATTATGAGACTTCTTTGTTCTCACACCTCAGTTTTAGTATTGCTGGGAGACACCAAAGTCCCTGGACCAAAATAAATCCATTCAGCTAAACTAACATAAGAGTTCTTTTAAAATAGCAAATCAAAAGTTTTCTTTTTTCGGTAGTTGAGAAATCTTTCAATAGGTGAGCAATCTCTCTGTGTGTAGATGTGTGTGTGTGTGTGTGTGTGTGTGTGTAATCTTATATTCCATCTTACTTTTGAATGATGTAAAATATTTACAAAATCTGAAGAAGTTTGCTCCTTCTCATCTTTTTTTAATGATTAATATTACATTTTTCTTTTCAAGGTGAGCAAAAACATAGCCCAATCTCACATCCAAGGATAATATGAATTTTAAAGAAAAAAATTTCTTGTGTTTGAAGAAACACATTTTAATCACAACCACGTATAAACATTATTTAATAATTTCTCAGTAAAATACAGGTATTTGTTTAGTCTCGTATCTCCATGCTTACAAGAGGTCGATGGCATCTTATTTTTAAAGGTGCTGAGGATATGAAGAAAGAGCGTGTAACAATATATTTCTCAGTTGACTCTTTTTAAAGTCATTTTGTACTTGAAACTTGGATAATAATTTGAGTTTTATGTATGGTAAACAACAACACTTTAGGGTAAAAGTTAGTAATGCTTGGAACAAATTTTACACCTTTGTATCAAAGAGGTGTTCTTGGTTCAAGATTCTGTGCTTAACAGAATATGACTTTAGCAGCTGGAAAGTTATCCTGTGAAGTAGCATAAATAAAATGGGAATCCTTATCAAGTTAGAGGAGAGATGTGGATTATTTGGATGTGTTGGTATTTTATTTGTTTACACACTGAGTTTAATATTCTTCTCTCTTTTTTGATTCAGGAAAATTAAAATTTTGATATGATCAATCCACAGTCCAACTCTATCACAGAACATTTATTATGTATTTATTTATTTATATTACTCTATATAGTAAATATATGGTATTATATCCTGAATTGTTCTGTTCTCTTGGTGGCATTTTATACATTTGGTAACTTTTCACTGATTAGGCAGTGCTTTATGATTTCTTTCCATTTGATTTAGGTCTCAACTGATCAAAGAAAAAGATGACATAGATCATTATCTAGAGGTGAATTTCAAAGGATTGTCAAAAGAGGAGGTTGCTGCGTAAGTATAACCTCTTAAAGGTACTTTAATATAGTTTGTTTCTTTTGTCTTGATTCTTTATTGAAATTTCAATTTTCCTGTTCAGTACAGTTTTTCATTGGGACATGGCATTTAAAAATTAAAACACATATTAAATAGTGATAAGTCATGTCTATTGATCTTACACATATCAAAGTCTTTAATTTTATGGCTCTCAAAATTCTCATATTTACCAAGATATTATACTATCACATTTGCAATATTTAGTTAAGTCTGTGCCATTAATTGCTTATTAATCTTCATTTTAAGGTGTATTGGCTTCATAGAGGAGAAAAAGGTTTTTAGAGAAAGATTTGTATCTTCTTTTTCATAATGATAAAAAGAAAAAAAAAACTTAGTAGTGTATCTTGTTTTTTCACCCAAGAATTCACCAACTATCCATATAATATGTATATGTTATATATATACTTATAGAGATAGTTTATATATATATAAACTATCTTGTTTTTTCACCTAAGAATCCACCATACACACATACACACACACACACACAAACACACACACACATTTCAATGGGTTATATTTCATTTGTTAATTTTTTTATTTTAAATTGCCTAAATTTGTTTTTTAAGTGGTCAACATAAACTTTTTATGTTATATCAAGTTAATCAAACATATGGAATAATAAAAGCAGTGTAAAATTCCATGTCAGCTAGTGAAAAATGAATAGAAACCTAGAATAACAATTAAATAGGCTTAATGCCTGTAGACTTAGTGATTCTGTTATCAGAGCTTTAGATGTAACTACTGAAACATGAAAATCTTATCAATGTACACACACCTTTTGAAATTCATTAAATGTTTCAATTAAAATATTTTATTCAATAGATGTATTTATTTTTGAGAGATTTTTGCTATAGGGCATGTGTGCTTACTGGAGAGACAGAGATAGACAGAAAGTGAGAAATCACCTGCCAAAGGAGATGGTATGCTACAATCCCTTCTCCTTCATTTTCCTCTCAGAATTTTGGACACATACACGCACACACACACATACACACACACACACACACACATACACACACACACACACACGCATGCACCTGGCATGAGTTTCAAACTGCTGAGTCCAGGACTCAAACCATGGTTGACCACTTGGGAGTCCAGTGCCCTGACCACTATGCCACTTGCTGGCCCAATAGATGTTTTTCAAAAGATTCCATTAGTATGTCTAATGTTTTGAGAGTCTACTGAAGTTCCTCCTGATACTTTTGACATAGGTTTCATATATTCTAAAATTCTAAATTTCTTGATATATTTCATTTTAGCCTTTATTATCTTTGTCAATTTGCATATAACATGGAAAAAAGAAGTAGTTAATTCTTTTGATGGCTACTTTATAGAATGACAAAACTGTACAGAAATGTAATCATTCACTTACACAGATCTCTACACTGTCATGTGTAGTATCTGAGACCTTTGGTTAAATGCTGTGCTAAATCTTAATTCATAAACTTTCCATGGTAACCTGTTAGACAAAATCAAAGATCAATGGTGTATAATAGTACAGTTCCTTCTTAGAAGACAAATATATATGATATTTGCATTCTGATTTAAATATAATGCTATCTAAATAGCTTTAATTGACTTAAGAAATATTTTAACGTTAACCTTCACAGAATTCAACAAACTAGAAATCCACACATTAAAAAGCTACCAACACCTAAGCTTTCAGTGTAAACTGAAGAAAAATCTTATTTTAGATAACACACAATAGGCTATGGTGATGAGTTTATTCTCAATGTTATTTTTCCACTAAGGATACACCAAATGATAATATTACCAAGTGATCACACTACCAGAGTCATCCTTACACTACAGAAAACAGTAATACTGAGTAATTCTCAGTCTTTAATATTGTAGTCTCCTTAGAGTAACTTGTACTCTAAGGAGTACTTAGAGTACCTTGGGTACTTTCTTAGATCAAAGCCCTTTCTGTAAGATAGTGGATACAAACCATGAGCATAAAGATAGCTGTCTGCAGCTTTTGATTGATACACGTTCTAGACTTCACTCCAGACAAACTAACTGAATCGCATATAGAGGGGAAAACTGATGAGTGATTTCAGCATCCTCCAGCAATGCCCAGCAGGCACCATGAAGAATTATACATTTTTTGTTAGCCAGGGAATTGCTGCATAAACCTTTTTATTATCTATTCTACTCTTAAAAAGATAACAAGAATTTACTGAGTGCTTCCTTTAATGCTGGGCTTTTCACAGTAAGAAAGACAATGACACTGTATTGTAAGATGCTTACCCATCCTGAAATCTTAACATCTAATGAGTGAGAGCTGATCATACCATGAGGTACAACCTAAAAGTTAAGAGAAAATCAGAGAATACTAAGATCATAGGATGAAACTAGTTACGAAGGACAGTTTGGCTCCCCGTCCAGTAGTAGTATAAACTGATCTAACTGGTACATCATAGATACTCAGTGTATATACAAGTGTGTAATAGTGAGAAATAGGAGAGTCAGGTGTTCAACCAAGCAAAAGCAACATCCTCAAATCCCTCTCTGTACCGTCTTATTCTTTATGATGCAGTAGATACACTCACTAGTAACAGTTGATGTGCACTAGCTTTGATATCCTGTAATATGCACATGTTCTTTGTTAGATTCCATAGCAAGGCCTCACCATTTACCCCTCACCATTTACCACCCTCCTCATGTGCAAACTCCTGTACTGTGACTGTCCTCCTAGTCCAGTGGGTGGAAAGTTCCTGTTCTTTTCTAAGGATGACCCCTCTGCTGCTGTCCTGGAGCCCATCCGCTGTCACACACTCCAAGACTTCCTCTTGCAGTTAAACATGCCTTTCTCTTACACCATCAATCTCTCCTTTCCCACTGGCTCCATCTCAGTTTGATAGTATTCATATCTGTATTCATATCTGTCCTAGGATTTCCCTTGACTTTTTATCCCCCCTCTAGGCTCCTCCCCATTTTTTTCTCCACTCTTCACAGCAAATAGAGCATTGTCTCAATATTTTCACATCCCATTCTTCCTTCATTTGACTCTAAGTAGGTTTCCAGGTCCAGTACTCACTGGAATCTCTGTTTAGGGTCACCCGTGACCTCCATTTTATCACAGTAATGGGTATACTCCTATCTGCCTCTTGCTTTATGTCTTCACAGAATTTGACAGAGTGGACTGCTCTCTCCTTCTTAGGCATTCTGCACATCTGGCTGCCAGGATGCTATGTTCTATGACTTTTCTCCTAACTGTGATACCTCAGTTTCCTTTGCTGGCTAGCTTTCTTGTGAGGTGGGGACTTCTAGGCCCTCTGCTTCAGCTATATTCTCAATCTGGATCCAGTTTTATGGCCTTAAATGTAGCAATAACCTGATGACTACCAGATGGATAAACCCAGCACTGGCATCTCCACTGAGCTCCGCATTTTTATGTTTAAATGTCTACTTACAAGGTTTCTATGATTCAAAACCAGATTTTTGCTTCACACCTACTCCTCTCCAACCCCAACTCCAATATTCTTCCCATAATCTTTCCCCAGTTTGGTAAATAGCAGCAAGGCAGTTTTGCCTTCACCCCCACTCCATCTAATGCATCTTATAACCTTTTAGATATAATGCCAAAGTATGCCCTGTTGGGAACAGTAAATAGCACAATTGTTACATCACTGGACTCCCAGGTAGTCAACTGTGGTTCCAGTCCCAGATGTGGCAGCTTAAACTCACACTGGGTGCATGTGTGTGTTTGTGTGCCCAAAATCCTGAGAGGAGAATACAAGAGAAGAGATTGTGGCATGGTCATCCCCCTAGGGAGTGAGAACTCATTTTCTGTCTCTCTCTGTCTCTCTGGTGAGTGCATGCACCCTATAGCAAAAATCTCTCTTAAAACAGAAAAAAAGACCCTCTGTTTATCTAATTCTCTTCATTGCATAACTACCATCATGTGTTGCCAAGATCACTTGAATAGTCTCTTAACTGCTTTTTTCTCACATCCACTCTAACTCCACTACAGTCCAACTACCAGAGTGATCTTTTTTAAAACATGAGATAACAATACTTCCCTGCTTCAGCCTCTCCAACAGCTTCTCATAGCTCTTATAATGAAATCTAAACTCCTGGTGCTGTGCACAGGCTGGACTTTGCTGACCTCTCTGATCTCTTATCTTCCATTCTGTCACCAGGGTGTCCTCCCAGTGTGGCCTTATTGCTGACACCCTTCATCATGCAGGTGTCACTAACTGTGACCTCCTCAATGAGCTATTCTCTGACCTCATAGTAAAATTTAAATGGATAGTTGATCTGGACAGACTATAGTAGTTGTTACTAGAATGTCCAGAAACAACTGATGGGGGGGGGTATTTTATTTTGGAATGGGTTGAATAGTTTTGTACCATCTCCTCTGATGGAATAATTTTCAGTATGCCTCATCACCTTTTTAAAAAAACATTTATCATAATTTTTAATTTGCATGCATCATTAAACATCTTTATAGGTACAGAGTGGTCTTTAAAATCATGTATATGATGTATAATAAGCAAATCGAGGATATTAAAATATTTACTACCTTCAACATTTAACTTTATGTAATGCTATGAACATTCAGAACCTGCTCCATTGGTTATTCTGGAAGTATGTACCTAATTGTGACGCTCTTTATTGTGGAATATAGTTCTAAAGAAACACACATTAATTAAAAATCAGACAACAAAACATCTCATAAATTAATGAGGAAGGATTTTTGAAAACAAAGATAATCTTAACATAGTCAATGAAAGAAGAATTTGTAATTTCCATATAGAGGGCTGTGGGAGATAGTTTATAAGCTGATAAGATCTGTGTTATTATTAGAGATACATAAAATTATTCATAGCAATAGCTCATTAGGAAGAGACAGGGAAAAAAAATCACTTTTACTGACTCACTGTGTGTTCTTTTAAGACCATAGTACTGTATTGTGCATAAAGACATAAATCCTCAGAGCAACAAAAACAAAACTAAATTGGAAAGAGATGTTTAAAAGCAAAGAAATGGTAAAGTCAGTGACTCAGTGATTTATAGGCGCTACAACATTCTCAATTTTAGCCTTCTTTGAATTCACTCCAGACTCAGCTACTTGTAACATTTTGGGCTTTTCCTTTGTTATCTAGTTTTATGCAATGACTAATGGTTCTAATACATAAATTGAAACATGTGAGAAAACTTCAATTAATTGGTGAGTTTATACTTAGAATAGTTGGAATCTGCATTTTTAGCCTTTTAGTAGAAAATTTAATCCCTACATTCAATGCTATTCTCAATGTATGTGGACTTATCCTTTCTACATAGTTGTTTTGTATTCTCTTTCTTCTATTTATTTCCCTTGAATTTTCCTAGTGTAGTATTTCCTGAAGAGCTGGTTCAGTTTTGGCAAATTCTTTCAGCATTGGTTTGACTTTTTTATCTCCTTCCCATTTGAAGGATAATCTTGCCAAGTATGGTACTCTTGGCAGAAATAGTTTTCCTTTCAGCATTTTAGATATGTCTTACCATTCTTTCCTTGTCTGCAATGTTTCCATTAAGAGGTCCCATGTTAGTCTAATGTGGTAATCTTTGTAAGCAACTTGGTGTTTCTCTCTTGCCATTTTAAAAATATTGTCTTTGTCTCATTACTTTTTTTAATTAATTTTTTTTTTTTTAGAGACAGAGATTTTTGCTATAGAGTGTGCTCACCAGAGAGACAGAGAAAGACAGAGAGAGAGAAATCGAGAAAATTACCCCCCACCCACGCAGAGAGGATGGCCATGCGGCAATCTCTTCTCCATTCTTGCTTGGCATTTTGGGAACAAATGCACCTGAGCCAAGCATGGGTTTTAAGCCACAAGGTCTGGGACTTGAACCATGGTCAACCATGTGGAAGTCCAATAATGTAATCTTTATGCCATCTGCCAGCCCCTGCCTCATTACTTTCTAAGGTCATTCTATTTCTATGGCTTATGAGTGCATTATTTAAATCAAATGTGTGGTTTTTGTGTTGTATATTTACACTGATGCTTAGCCTTTATTAGATAGGTCCTCAAATGGTTCATTTATACTAATTGATCTTTAACGACTAAAGGAAGTCATTTCAGAAATGTTTCTGTACTTTAGGTTTTTAATTTGTGCTTATTATTATTAAGAGGTATTATTGTGTGTGTGTGTGTTCTTTTTTTTTTTGAAGGTCTTAAACTATCACTATCATTTCATAATGGTTTGGAGTAGCTAAGTAATAATCTGTACTTTAGGTTTTTAATTTGTGCTTATTATTATTAAAAGGTATTATTGTGTTTTCTTTTTTTTTTTTTTTTGAAGGTCTTAAACTATCACTATCATTTCATAATGGTTTGGGGTAGCTAAGTAATAAAAGTGTCATTTGTAGATTCAAATTAAATTTTCTGGGGGTAGTTGTGACAGCTATACTATGTAGATGAGAACACAAACAAAAATCATCTAGGGATGGAGAATGTTAATCTGCTTCATATTATTTTCTGCTTCAGATATGAAGTTCTTTCTGTGGAGGAATAGGTTAGGTACAAAATTGTGTGCATCTTTGAGACTTGGCTTTCTTTCTGGATAGCATACTCTCAGCATCATCAGCTGATGGTTATTGAGCAACACTTTTATCAGTCAGTTCAGTGGCGGTTGGGACTGCCAGTTACCATATTCAATGCATTTGTGCAAAGAAGAAACAACAAATGTTTAAAGTTTTTTTCCTTCCATGAGAGAGAAAGAGAAACAGAGACAGAGACAGAGATAGAGGTATCCACAACAAGGTCTTCATGCCACAGTCCTTTCCCAGTCTCAGCCGACCAGGATCATGGCCTCCCTTGTGTGTACAGGGAGGTCTCAGGACCTGAACCCAGGACCCTTCCCATGTGAATCCAGTTGCATTACCACTGTGACAACACCTGGCCCCAATTTAATTTTATATCTTTTGAAGCCTTTTTCTCCCATCTCATTTTAAATTTTATTACTCAAAGTAAAATGAGTGTGTTGCCTATGTAGGTTTTCCTCTTAAATTTCCAAGTGTTTTCCTAAGGTACATTTATGTACTACAGATATATTTGTTGTATCCAAATCTAACACCTGAATTTACACAATGGCCAGGCATTCTATGAATATGTTACAAAGTAAAGTCATTTATTCAAGATATTATATATAGTTCATGACTGGCAGATAGTGTAATGGTTACATTAACTGCAGTTAGAGTCCCAGACCCAGAGGCTTGAAACTCATGCTGGGCGCATGTGCATGTGTGCTCAAAATCCCAAGAGGAGAATGAAGGAGAAGGGATTGTGGCGTGGCCATTCCCGCTGGGGAGAGATTTCTCACTTCTGTCTCTCTGGTGAGCCTATGAGCCTTAAATAAAAAAATCTCTCTAAAAACAAACAAATAAAAAAAAATAGAGATTTTATAGCGACATTGTGGGAAGCTGGCCCCCTTCAGGTGTTCTCTATCTCTCTGCCTCTCTCTTTCTCTCTCTCTCTCTCTCTCTCTCTCTCTTGCTCTCTTGCTCTCTCCCTCTCTGGTCAAATTAAAATAAACAAATAAAGTTAAATAAGAAATCATTTTATACACATATATGTGTGTGCATATATATATATAAAATCAAGACCAGACAAATAAAGAGGGAATTCTTCTCTCAGGATCTTTGGCATGCATGCACATACACCTGGCTTGAGTTTCAAGCTACCAGGTCCAGTATGCGAACCACGGTCAGCTGTGTGGGAGTCCAGCGGCATACCATTGCACCATCTGCTAGTCCCCTCTGAGACCATTTGAAATGCTTCACACTTTCTTTAACTTGGGAAGGCAATTTATCAGGATACATATGTATACACCCACAAATATATATAAACATATATAGTGTGTGTGTTTATAATTATATATGTGTAGTGTGTACATATTTGTTTGCTGTGTATTTATATTCTTATATCCTCAAACTTTGTGGTTTTAACCATTAATTTGAATTTTCTACATATCACTGTATAAAAAGATTTCACTATATTTTAAATATTTTCTTTCAAACTAAAATATAACCATGCTAAGCAAAATTAAATGTAGCCACACAACTCAGACATAGAAAAATACATCCTCAGCAGATAGTATAATGGTTACATCTCTGGACTCCCACTTTGTCGACCACGGTTTGAATCCTGGACCCAGCGGTTTGAAATTCATGCCAGGTATGTGCGTGTGTGTCCAAAATCCCAAAAGGGGAATGGAGGTAAGGATTACAGCATGGTCATCCCCCCTGGGGATGATTTCTCACTTTCTGTCTCTGTCTCTTTGGTGAGTACATGTACCCTATAGCAAAAATCTCTCAAAAAAAAAAAAAAAAAAGAGAAAAGAAAAGAGAAGAGAAGAAAAAAAGAAAAATACTTCTCTTCTTTGCTATAACCCAAACATCCCAGGAAAATATGCAGCCCCATTTCCATAAGTGTATCAGGGATACACCACTGATTCAGATACCACATTTAGAT